ATTTGATTTGTATCCCGCCCGCTTAAGAACCATCCTCTATGTAAAAATCTATTTAGGAGAGGGGTTAACATTCTACTCTGAGTTACAAGCTCACCATGCATCTTAGTGATGGCAGCCTTCACAGGCATTAACATTTTCATCTAAATGCAAAAAACATTACTTCATGACAATCAGAGTGCTGTCCTCTGAAGATGCCGGCCACAGAGACTGGCAAAATGTTAGGAAGAACAACCTTCAGAACACGGCCAAAGAGCCCGAAAAACCCACAACAACCATTAGATCCGGCCATTAAAGCCTTCGTGAATACAATGCTCCAACTACCATACAATAGCATTCGTTTCACATGGTAACAAAGTTATGCTCAAAATTGTACAAGGTAGGCTTCAGCAGTATGTGGACTGAGAACTCCCAGAAACTGGATTTTGAAGGGGCAGAGGAACTGGAGCCCAAATTGCTAACATGCGCTGGGTTATGGAGAAAGCCAGAGAGTTTCAGAAAAACATCTATTTCTGCTTCATTGACTATGCAAAAGCCTTTGACTGTATGGACCACAGCAAACTATGGCAAGTTCTTAAAGAAATGGGAATGACATTATACAAGGCTGTATATTGTCCCAATGCTTATTTAACTTATATGCAGAATAAATCATGCAAAAGACTGGACTGGATGAATCCGAAACAAGAATTAAGATTGTCGGAAGAAATATCAACAACCTCAGATATGCAGATGATGCCACTCTGATGGCAGAAAGTTATGAGGAATTAAAGAACCTCTTAATGAGGATGAAAGAGGAGAGTGCAAAAAATGGTCTGAAGCTAAACATCAAAAAACTAAGATCATGGTCACTGGTCCCATCACCTCCTGGCAAATAGAAGGGAAGATATGGAGGCAGTGACAAATTTTACTTTCTTGGACTCCATGATCACTGCAGATGGTGTCAGCAGCCACGAAATTAAAAGATGCCTTCTTCTTGGGAGGAAAGTGATGACAAACCTAGACAGCAGCTTAAAAAGCAGAGATATCACCTTGCCGACAAAGGTCTGCATGGTCAAAGCTATGGTTTTTCCAGTAGCGATGTATGGAAGTGCTGGGGCTTCTCAGGACTTCATGGCAGCCATGACAACCATGGGGCTGTCTAAATATGTCATTGGCCCAACACATGAGAAGGGCCATACCTTGGACCTGGTTTTCTCAACAGGACTTGAAAAAAGGGGTTTTTTGGATGTGGAGGGGCTGGTTGTGACCCCATTGTCATGGTCAGACTACTTCCTGGTCAAGTTTAGTCTATTAGCTTCTTCTCCCCTCTGCAAGGGTGGGTGAATCTATTAAGATGATCCACTCTCGGAGACCCATGGAGCTAGATGGTTTCCTGAATGCTCTGGTGGATTATTCATCTGATATGGTTGGAGCTCCTGTTGAAGCTCAGGTCAAACAAAGTCATCTGGACTTCTGATATTGGACTGGCTTACTTGACTTTTGCCTTTTGAAACCCCCGGGAACATAACATTTCGGGACGGGTTTTGGTACGGAGCCTGCCTTGATCACCCTGTATGATGACCTTTGCCGGGAGAGAGACAGGGGATCGTGACCCTGTTGAAACTCCTGGACCTCTCAGTGGCTTTCAACACCATCAGCTATGGTGTCCTTCTGGATAGGCTGGCTAGGTTGGGAGTTGGGGGCACCACTTTATGGTGGTTCTGCTCCTTCCTAGCTGACCGTGTCCTAGAGGGCAGTCCTGGGGGACAGTTGCTCTGTCCCATGAGTTTATGTCATGGAGTTCCTCAGGGTTCGATACCATCCCCCATGCTATTTAACATCTACATGAAATTGCTGGGAGAGGTCATCAGGAGGTTTGGTCTGAGGAGTCTGCAATATGCTGATGACATGCTGATTACTCAGTTTTCCACCAATCCAGGTGAAGTGGTTTCTGTGCTGAACTTGTGTCTGGACCTGATAATGGACTGGATGAGGGTTAATAAATTGAAACTCAATCCAGACAAGATGGAAGTGCTGTTAGTAGGTGCTTCACCGGACAGGCTGGAAGGCCATTTCCCTGCCCTGAATGGGGTTACACTCCCCCTAAGGGGCAGGGTCCACAGTCTGGGGGTGCTCCTGGACCCCAATCTAACACAGGAAGCCCAGGTGGACTAGGGGGCCAGGGGCACCTTCCTTCAGCTGCAGAAATTATACCAGCTACGGCCCTAATTGGAGGAGCAGAGTCTCATGACAGTTACACACGCACTGGTAACATCTGGACCCACCACGCAGGACCTGGCATGCTGTGGTCCATGGGGTCACGAAGAGTCGGAAACGACTTAAGGACTAAACAAGTACAGCACAGAAGATAAGAATATGGCAGAAACGTAATGTATAGATTTGTCCGTTTAAAACTGTTGCTTCAGAACTAATCTTACCCTATTTTTTAAAAGCACTATATGAATACATAGTGGACCAGAGCACGCCAGGCCCTGCGTGGTGGGTCACAAATTATACAAACAGGATACACAGACTTTCTAACTCAGAGTTCATACATGTTTTCTTGATCAGGTGAAACAGGACATTTTAATTAAGACCATCCTGCTAACTGTCCAATCTAGTTTCTTCAACAGTTTATATAAGTACTCCATGGAAATATTTATTTATTTTTAAGAAGAGACCATGATAGCAAAGTTTAAATTGCTAACACTCATGGGGAATCACTTGCACAAACACCTCCTATAATGTCAGGCAAAATAATTTAACCCCTTGATATGGTTGTTCTATGGAAATACAATACTTTTGCTTTCCACATTTGACCAGCATTACAAGTGTGCTACAACTTTAAATGGAGTTGTCCCAAAGTGCATTTCTGTTTTTCACCACACAATCCTTGTTATTGACAAGAATCCAAAGAATAATGCAAACAGATCTGTGTGCTTCTCTCTCTCTCCCTCCCTCCCTCTCTCTCTCTCTGGCAAAAACAAACACATGAAGAAGCAACTCATTTTCCAGTAGAGAGCCCCACCCCACAAATACAACATGGGTGTATTCTATTCCAATACAAAGGATATGTGGCACTCTCCCAACCCACAAAAGAAGTAAATTATCCCTCTCACTTTTGATATGTTACATAAAGGTTAGGAGAACCAGCTCCTGCCCATAAAAATGAATTTTCTCCCAGTCAATATTCTTGCTATTTTTTGAGACTTAGAAGGAAAGTGCAAGTTTATATGAAGGAAGAGTAAAAATGGGTAGGAAAACATCAGTAATTTCAAATATGTAGATTAGACCATATAACTGTCAGAAAGCAGCACTCTAAAACTACTGCTGAGGAAGGTTAACAAAGAAAGTGCCAAAGCAGAATTACAGTTCAACATTAAGAAGACCAAAATAATGACTACAGAAACATTAGATACTTTCAAGCTGACAGTGAAGAGATTGAAATCAAGGTACTTTCTATACCTTGGTCCAGTCACTGATCCAAAGGGAGGCTGCAGCTGAGAAATCACAAGATGACTGAGCTTTGGAAAGGCAGTAACAAAAGAAGCAGAAAGGCTCCTGAAGAGGATGGGTGTGTCAAGTCCATCCATCCTACCCTATTGCCAGTTACTGATGGGTACTAGATCAGCTAAAGGGAGCATTTGATCTAGCACTGGGCTCTCTGGAAACAAAAATATCCTACTCTGGGTACATCGTGAGTGACAAGACTCAATGGGAAAAGAAATAATGCCGGGAAAAGCCGAAGACAGCAGGAAAAGAGGAAGCCAAACTATGAGATGGCTTGACTCCTTAAAAGAATCCTCAGGTTTTAGTTTGCAAGACTTGAGCTAACAAGACTTTTTCGGGTCACTACTTCAGAGGCTTGCTATAAAGCAGACTTGATGACATGACACATAATAACAATCGAAACAAGTAAGTAAACCTGTGGATGGAAAGGCACCCCAAAGCGAAATGTTTCAATCAATCTGCCCACATCGCCTTCTGTTCCCAGGAGAGGCTTTTCTTGCAAATGTATTCGGAAGGAAAGTGGCGGAGAGAGGGCGGCCGGGGAGTTGTTTTCCAGCTGCGACCAAGGCCCCGCCCGCTTCTTCCGCCGTTTCCACAACAATCGCAGCAAAGCGCGCCATAATGTATTTCAATCAGGGGTGGCTGGGGTGAGCGGGGCGGGCGCTGCGCCTGGGAGGCCCTCCGCGCTCTCGCCGTTCGCTGCTCTGCCGCCTGGCCTCGGGGAACAAGTCGGTACCTTGGGCAAGACCGGAGGTGCTCCGGGGGCTTCTTCTCTTCTCCGCCGCTGCCGGTGGCCGTCGAGCGACGCGGCCCCTCGCCCTGCTGCGACCAGACGAGGAAAGGCGCCGAGCAGAGCGAGCTGGCACCGGACGGGTG